CCCCCCCCCCCTTGCCTTTCTCCTCTTCTTCCAGCCGAGCCGAGGACTATCCCAATCGCAAAGGGGGAGAAAAAGGGGGGAAAATCCGCCACCAACCAACCCCCAGCACGCCCCATTCCTGCCGCCCTTTGACATGCAACCTTCCTTGGGATGGGACCGGCCGGGATGCAGCTGCAGCATCGGAAGGAATTGGGGAAAATTGGGGATCTTGGCTCTGATGACGGTGGAATTGAGCTCCTGGAGCCGGGTGCTGCTGCTCTCCGTGGGGCTGCTGGCTGCCTCTGCGAACGGTGAGTGTGCTGGGGAAGGCTGGTAACTTTGGGGCATTTCCCTGCTTGCTGCTTATAGCCTGGGACTGCTGTTAATCCTCTTTCCAGGGGACTCTGGTGTGTGTGTATGCGTTTGTATGTCAGCACATGCTTCCCTGTAGTGTTGAATGAGTGTTCAGTTTTCTTCAGGCAAGATTGTTGCACCCAGAGGCTGGAGAGAAACTGCCTCAAATGATGTAATACCACATAGAACCCCGTAGTATTTCTCCATCTCTGATGGGTCAAATAATCTGTGCACGGTTGCTGTGTGATACGCAAGACGACTGTAGAGAAATGCCATTGCTTTCCCCCTGTCTTTCCCTTGCATCTTAATTCATTATTTCAGTACCCACAGCATTTGACCATAGCTGATAAAACAGGTTTGCACTCCTTGAATGGAAATGGAAGCACTTTCCTCTCATTCCCCCCTGCATTTGAACTTGATAAGACGAGCTCTTTGGCCTCAGCGTGGTGATTTTTGTGGGAAATGCATGTATTGACTTGGAAGAAGGAGACTTCAATTTGGGGGCAGCGTGCACTCGTCTCCTCCCCGCTTTCTGCAGCTGACCTTGTAGCAAAAGGATATCTATGGACTGAAGTTTATTTCTGGTGCAAACAGCAAATATTTAGGGACTGTCTTTGTGTATGTGGGAGGGGGAAGAGTGGGAGAGCTGAGCTTGGCAGCCTTCTTTCAACGCTGCTGTGCCCTGGTTTCCAAGAGTTTCTGAGTAATGTTTGTCTTGTCTGCTGCATCCTAGGCTGGAGGAATGTATGCTTGTGTGTGTTCATGTGTATAAAAGCTTTTCTTTTTTTTTTTTAATAAATCCTCGTGTTATTTAGAATGCAACACTCATTTCATTATGTAAGACAGACTTTCTCCAAAGAGATTCAGAATAATTAACTGTTCCTCCCGAGTGCTCTTGCAGTGGACCCGAGGAGTTGTGCTAACGGGAAGCATCTATTAGGGAAGGAGGTGGAACCACCCAGCAACCCACAAGCCATAATTAGGGATGAGTATTTATTTTTGGTGATTATTTTTTGTCCCCTTTCTTCGGCAGGAGCATTTTGCCTATCCACAAGGGAGAACCGTTCCAGCAGTTTCTGTTGTGCTTTTCTGATACGAATAGAATGATGCAGAGATACCTAAAGAAGATTTATTATGTCAGGTTTTTGCAGCTCTCTCTCCTTCTTTCAGGCTATCTGTAGCTTTTTTCACACTAGATTTTCCAGGCTTCTTTCTGTACCTGCTTGCTCAGTATTTAATCTTTTCTTTCCAGGCCCCTAGCTCTATCCCTGCATTCAGAGTGCTGTTTGATGCCTTCATCCCCTGGTCAGTGCTCTGTTTTTTTTCCCCTGCAAGTAAATCTGCAGAAGCTTTTCAGATGCCATGTTTTTGTTTTGTTTGTTTGTTTTTAAAATTTGCATCAGAATCAGAGCTGTCAGTCGATGAGGACTCTTTCCTAGCTCTTCTTTTTCACCACATTCTGAAATCCCAGTGATGATCCTTTTTGTCAAGGTAAAGGTTCCACTTGGAACCGGTGCAGTTTGCCACGAGGCAAACACAGCCACCTCAGTGCAGAACCCAGTGCAATTTTGTGGCCTGACCCCAGCAAGGAAGCTCAGTGTGCCCTTTGGTGGGCAGGCAGTGATCCTTGGTAGAGCAAAGTTCCTCAGAGACTTCAGTTCTGATCTCGCCAGTTTTGGGGGTTTGTGTGGGTAGTAATAACCACGAGTACCCATAGTGTGGCAGTAGAGCTGTATGTATTTATATAAAAACTACCGGTTAGTGGGTCTGGCCGGCTGAAAAAAATAAGGGAAAGAAATCCTCCTGAGATCACATCAGTTGTGTTTGACAGCGGTTCTGCTGCCCGACAGCGTCCTTCCAAAACATGGCTGTTTGCTGTGGGTGCTTCCTTCAGATGCATGGGGAAGCAAGACGAGGCAGCTCCTGTTGTGCAGCGAGCTGAACCAGCTGCAGGAAGGTGTTCTACCATACCCCAAAGTTCATTATGAATATGAGAGCTGATGGGAGAGGAAGTGGTTCATGGTTTCCCTTTCTTATTTTGATGGTGTGCTAACTTGATGGCATTTGGGTTTGAGAGGTCTTTGGCTGAGAGCAGACTGATTCACGTATGTGCTCTCAGCAACAAAGTGCATCTTGTGCTGAAATTTCTCGATGGTGCAAACAGGTGGTCTTAATAAGAATGTTTCTGTTCCCTGCTGGGTAATGAGCTGTGTGTTGGCACTGGGGCATTTGGTGTGTGCATTGGCGGAGCGTGTTTGGTGCACACATGCAGTTTCTCTTGAAGGACTGTTGTGAAGGAGGTCTCGATGTTGTTATTCACACTGCTTTACTAGTCAACATCTTGTTTTGTGCTGCGTAACAGAAAGTTGCAGTGGCTTGAAATGTGGTCTCACCAATTTTATCCCACTGTAATTTTCTGTTTTTCTTGACGGAAAAGAGTTTTTGCAAATTCTTCCTTTGAGGAATAGGAAGCAGCTTATGAATTCTAATGCATGTGTACGTATCTCCATTGTAAACGATCCTTTTATTTTGTTGTCTCTAATCTGCACAGGATGAAGAGTGATTCAGGGATAGTTGCTCTGCTAGGGAAGCAAGTGAAGCACTCAGAGTATTTTTGTAGGGGGTAAGGATGTGAGGTATTAACTCTGAAGCAGTGGATGGATGTTTGTGTAGGAGGGAAGGGAACAGTCGCTAGCGTGATTACATTTGATTGTGGCACACAATGAAACGACAGTATTTGATGATAGTAGCTGAGCGTATCGTTTTGATATGAGTCCTACTACCAGCATTCAGGCAGTGTGGATATCAGTGCTAAATGGAATGAATGATTCCCACTTACTCATTCATATCGTGCTGATGCCTCTTGTTGCAGGAGAGGGAGGTGGTTCTGGCAAACATTTAGAGGGTGCAGCTCTTTGCTTGGGATCAGACTGGCCTGGGGAGGGTGGGCACAGCAAAGGGCTTTGTGTTGCAGTTCTCTTTCCTTGGCTTTGGGACTGCGGTGGAGGAGATGCTTGGCCTGGGCTGGATGCTTTCACTGTGTCACAGTGGGGTGACACGGGTGTGATCCTCAGTTGGGTAGGGTTGGCCCAATCCTTCCCTCTCTGTGTGCCTGTCCATGTGTACCTGGTTTGACTGGTGCACACTGAGCTTTCTCTGTCCATGGAGGTTGGTGCTCTCGTGAGTTCTTCCTGAAGAATATCTGCATTTGTCATGGCTTTCTCCATGGAAGCCCACATAACAGGTAGGGGAGCACAGGGGAAGGAACCAGAGGCACTGCAGTGTGTGCTGCTGCCTTGCTATGTAACCCTTGGCAGTCGATCTCACTCATTCTTTGGCTTCTCATTCTTTGTGCTGGTCGAGTTCATCATTTTGGGTACAGGAGCCTTTCCTATGCTATGTGGCTCCCCATTGCCCATCACTCTGGTTTTTGTCGTGGCCTCTCGGTGCTGCTGAAGAGCATTCAGGCTCAAGCTCTCCTTGCCGCAGAGCCGGTCTGTCATGTCAGATACCTCCCAGGGAAATTCTGTATTCAGCTGGCTGATGGTTCCCAGCCTGCAGTGGTACAGAGGTGGGTGTCTGCTCTGCTGATCCTTGGTGGCTGCCTTCCAGTTGCCTGTGAGTTTCTGTCAAAAGAAGGCAACTGTCAAAATGGGTTCAGGGAATGTGATCCAGGCAATCTGCCGTGGATCCCAGTGGATGTGTGTTTGCCAAGGTGATTTAGGGCTCAAGGTGTAGCTGAGCTGTTGATAGCACATTCATATCATAGGTTGTATTCCTGCTGTAGAGAATGCTTTTTCCTAAACAAGAGTGACTGCCTCATTGATTTGTTTTCAGGGACAAGAAGAGACTTTCAGATGTAGGTACTTACATTGCTTTCAAAGAAATCTAGATAGAGATGCATAAAATCCCCAACACTCCAGTGATGGTAGCCCCCATAGTTTCTGTGTTTACACAGTGTTTCTGGAGGAGTGAAGTACAGTGCAATTATGGAAATCAGTGTACTTTACTTGCTATAAACATGATGCAGTGCAGTAATCTGCAAAATAAATATGCCTCTGCCATGCTATGCAGTGGCTGACTGATCTGATAGTGGTTTATGTGTAACTGGGAAAATCCCATTGATTAAAGAAATCAAATTAACTCCGTTTCAGTCTTTGCTACCATGGACACGGCCAGGATGGAGACAGTATGCTGCAATGAGCTTGTGTGCGATTTCCTTATACCTGCCCTGTGTGGAAGTGGAACAGTGGGTTTTTGGACTTGTGGCTTTCTTACATTGCTTCACAGTGGACTGAATGTGGTGTTCCCAGGCTGAGCTACATGCCCTGCTTCAGCCCCTTGCAGGAGTGACTGCAGTAATTTCCTGTCTCTGAGATGCAGGCATCGCTGCTGTGATGCACTGTGTGCCACTGCTGTCTGCTGGTGGGAAGAGGAGCAGGGGCTGTTGCTGCTGGTCATGGCTGGGAGGCCCAGATGATTGTGCAGGGAGATGTGGTGAGCTAAGGCTCTCATAGAAGTGCAGGAAGATTTGCAACTGTGAGGTCTGGAGCAGCTATGGTTGCCAGGGAGATGTGTGATAAAAAAGTAATTAAAAAAAAATTCTCTCCGTGTTATTGACTGCAAAAAAAAAAAAAAAAAATCTGCATGAAAATGAACTGATGTGTAGGTTTGGGGACAAGCCTATGGTATTTAGAGAGTGAAGGAAGGGGAATGTCACTGAAAGGGACTTATGGGTCCCTTCCAACTTGAGATGTTCTGTGATTTTGTGACACCCATGCAACATGTTTGTAGTATGGTGACTGCTGCAGCTCTGTGGGTGAGCAGAGGTCGTAACCTGTGTGTTCATAATGTTGGAGGCAGCCCTTGCCTAGAAGACAGCAATCCAAATGATAACAATCCCGAATGTATCTCTTGAGTGTTAGAGGACTGCAGAGACTGGAGGAGACAGCAATGC